TCTGCTGGAGCTGGAGATAACTAATGATGAAAGGGAGGTTAATTTATGTTAAAAATAGATGTCAAAAGGCCCATCTTCAAAATATCTACAAAGATGTGTATGTGAGACTTAGGGCATGGGATTCCTCACTGCTATTATCTGACACAGGATGGGAGTCTGAGCTCCAGGGTTTTTAATGGGACAGGTTAAATTTTCTTTCTGAGTGAAAGTTAATGTATTTAAATATACAGGAACAAATTCCCTTGTCTCCTGGAGCGTTAGGACATGACTCTCTGCTCTGCTGTAGCACTTTTCTGCTGGTGCTGCACATATGCTTTGTACCAGCGCTAACAAATGCTGTTCCAAAGCAGAGAATTAGACCTCAGTATGTAAAATAGGGAGATGAGGCAGAGTAATTTGAGCAGGAAATCCTGGGACATTAGTGATGCTCCGAGTGCAAATTTTAATATGGATTTAACTGCAGAGCTGCTACTGAGGCCTCCATAATGTTATTTTAAGGTTAATTTGGAAACCTCATTCAGCGTTTTGGCTGCCTAACAGCCGCTGTCATTAGCAAGAGTCGCATGGTTGAGTTCCAGTGCTCTGCTCTGAAAATCTCCCTCTCTCCACTTGTTTATGTACATGTAAATAAATGAGCAAATAGAGCACTCTTTGAAAAGATGACTTTTTGTGTATAATAGCAACCTGTTAATGTTTTAATCCAATCGTCTGTACTCCCACAAGGCAGGCAAAGGAGCTTCAGATCTGAGTTCTGAACCTTTTCTTAATGGCAGATTTCTTTGGTCAGAAGCAAGTCAAGCTCTCCCTTTGTCATCCTGGCTTATTTTTCAGTCTTGCTGTCTTTCCACAAGACAGCAGTGAGAGATTGCTATGAAACTAATTAATGTCTGACAGACAGATCGAACTGAATATCCAAAGGATTCAGAGTAGAGTTCATTCCCCTTTACAAAACAGAATACCACAAGGCAAGAAACATATAGATGACATTATTATACTAACAAATAGCTGAGGGAATTTTCTTGCTCATTTTATCCAAATTAGACAATTTAAGACAATTATGGTTAAATTCCCCTCCCAGACTGCAGCTCAGTTACCTTGATGTGTTGGTAGTTGTAAAGAGATACATATGAAATATTACCTAAGAGGCAAGCTGTGTGCTTTAGCAGACCTCTATTGTCTCTCCGAGTGCAACCACAAGGGAGAAATAAGGGTCATGTGTCATATATGCATAGCCAAAGTATAGAAGATTTATGACTTAGTGAATATGTAGATGTGCTGGTGTTCTTGACCAAGCTGTGGAAGCTGTCCTTGAGTGCGTCTGAGGTTTTACAGTTAAAAAAGGGGAACACTTCAAAGTGAGGAAGAGACAAACAATTACACACACGCAGCCTCGGAACACTCGGGCAGTGTTCTCTGCAATCACAAAAATAATGACTGCTCATCCTACTCTCTTGGGGGTGGGGGGGAAAATTTCCATATTTTGGCTTTTGAGGCACTTTCAAAGCCATTTACTGCCGTCATTCACACACCGCTGGATTAAGAACCATATGCCTCTTAAAATCAGCAAGAGCGGATTTGCTGATTTAAGGAAAAGGGAAAAACAAATATAAAATAGGCAGATCGAGACCTACTTTTACTTCAAAGGGTTTAAGAATAACACCAGTTTGGAAGTCCACTCATTAAGAAATAGTTCCTAATTAACTGGATAGAGCGACAGCAGAAAATACCAAACGCCAGTGTGTTGACCACTGATTTCTACACTTTTTACTCACCAGTTATCCGTAATTGTTGAGTGCACATTCAACACAAGTTGTTGAGAGGCTTAAGCAGCACTTGTGGATCAGGAAAGGAGCATTTCATGTGCTAATTGTTCTGTCAGAAGTAAGGGATGGTCCTGTGAGTGATCACAGCTTGCTACATTAGATTACAGTGTGATGCTAATTCACTGTACTTTTCAGTGCACTGATTTCAATGGTCAGAAGTAAAACACCTTTCACTGGTCTTACTACTACCAGCAGTTGTGTTACTTAGGCTGCTGTCTGGAAATCCACATCTTATTGGATCTGTGCTGGCTTCTCTATAGATCAGCTCATGAACGTCCTCGCAATCCAGTGTGTCTCACACCTCTTTATACCAACACGTTCTCACCATGTCTGTGACCACAAGGAAAACATGGAAGTAATTGTAAAAGTGACTCCCTGAGTCTGCAACAGCCTGAACAAATAGCTTCAAAAGGGTTATGAGAAGGCCACTGGTCGAACTTCAAAACGCAGCCATCATCTCCTCAGAGTTACTGGTTGCAGTTGATGCTGGGTTGCAGCCCATATGACTCTATGTGTTGCAGCCCATAGAGTCACAGTTCCTGTACATGGCAAGGGGATGGGGAGAGGTGCATTGGCAAACTTGGCACCTGCCAAAGCCAGTAAAACATTTGGTGTCTTCCACCAAATTTGAAATTATTCCTAAGCATTGCTACAAAGGGAGATGGAAAGAAAATGTGCTCCCTCTTGATCTCGATTGCTTGTTCTATTTGCAACCAACTGGCCCAATGATAATGTCATTCCCAGAAGACAGCATGATATTAAAATAACATCAGCATCAATGCAGAGAACAGGGATGCTGATACAGGGTTTGTATCTTCATGGCTAAATTGTAGTTATTAACTTTTCCTAAACTTGTGGCTGATTTTTCCTGTGTCAAGTTTTTTTTTTGGGTTTATTTGCTGCACCAAAACACTATTAAGGACAGATTTGCTTCTGCTTAATTTAGACTTCTCTTGCTTCAACATGGACTCTAATGCTTTGACCCACTTCTTACTGGATATGTTTAGGACACCTAGATACACAGAAACTAAAAGGTGCATTCCTCTTCCCTTTGCCTGGTTATATTGCTGCTGGTGGTAGGAAATGGGGAGCAAGGAACATGGGAATATGATGGAATGAGACAGTGCCAGCTGTGTCATTCCAACAAGGACCACTTTCAGTTTGCTGTTGGATTTGGGGGAACACAGGAACTTGTTTAACACAGTATGTTGTAGAAAGGACCTTGTTTATATCCCTCTTCAGTTTTAGTGCCTGGGTAACAGCTCTTGGGGAACATTTACAAGAGGTTGCATTGATTTCTCATTTCTCTGAAGGCCCCAGCTGGAGCCTTTCATCCTATTTGGGGCAGTGTAATTGGGGAAAGATTTGGATCAGTTGGATGCAGTTTAGAGGAGAACAAGGAGAATAAGCAGAACTTCAGAAAATGTGGCCCATGAAGATTAATAGAAATGGGTTACTGAGCCTGAGGCAAAGCTGTCTGGAAGGGAGTGTGATTGTTCTTTTCATGGATGGAGAAGTCTGCTCTCCCTATCTGTTGCGGACAAAGCAATGGGACTGAAGTGTAGCAAGATTGAAGCTGGATATGAAGAAAGCTTTCCTGGTCAGGGAGGTTGTAGCATCACTGGAGTAGGTTGCTGGAGTCTTTTTTACTGTGTCCTTTGTGTCTCAGGGACCTTTCCTGCCATACGATTTCATGTATCTCCATGGAGTTCCTAGAACTGCTGTTATTCCGATACACTGCTTTATTCCTGCTAAAGAGGCTATATGAATGAAGGAGAATTTCCCCTCCTTTTCCTGGAAAGATGCCATCAATAGGTGGAGAACCTGATTACAAAATACTTGTTTTGAGAAGAAGCGTCAAAAGCATCTAGGAAAGAAGGATCCCAGGGATCTGGGAGGCAGGACTTGACTGCTGTTAATATATACCACTCCCCATCATGGGTTGATAAGTGCTGTGTCTGTCACATGGAGCTGTAAGTGTTTACAGAGCAAACTACAGTTCTCTGGAACAAACTGCTCTTTCCTTTATCAGTTTTCTTCCTTTTCATTTTCTTCTCCCTGTGACTAACAGGAGATCACGGCCCAGTTGTATCCTAAACACTGTTTTATTGTGCCTCAACCTCAACATCAGAGTGTGTTGCATTTCAGCATGTTTGGGGCTTGCCCTACAAATGTATTTGCTGACAGAATTTAGCTTAGAAAATGAAAGCCTTTTGTTAATGAAGAAATTAGCTACTTTTTGTGCTTTGAAGGGTCTGTAAATCTCTACATTTGCATTTAAGGGAGAGCTGCTTCTCTGTTAATCTGGATGAACCCTGAACGGGACTGTAAGGGGACTCAGGCCTGATGGCATGAGTCATTTCTCATCATTCATTTCTTCTTTTGAGGCCTTAAAAGCTTTCAGACAGAAACCTGATCTAAACCTCCCCTTAATAGACATGTAGGAACTCTGAGGACATTGATTGAATAAGACGCCCAAACACATACCTTGGAATTCACTTTTTACTCCTGTTTGAAAGAGCAAACAATCACACGCCTGCAATAATGTAACTTTTGCTTTCATTATGACTGTATTCCCACCAGCTAATTACATTTCAGATACAAAGCCTGTCAACTTCCCTGCTCCACGGTGATAAAGGAACCTGCTGAGTAAAATAGCCACCACTGGTGTTATTTCAGGAAATATCTAGCTACTGTGGGAGAGAGTTCTTGGGTTTGTATTGAAGTAAAGAAACAAAACAGGAAAACTCTGGTAGATTTCTAGTACATGTAAGTGTCTATAATGATCAATAGGATTGAGCAACGTGACTTAAAATGAGTCGTAGTCTTTGTTTAAGGAGCCTGCCTGGTTTTACTTGCATGTTCTTTTTCTCATTTATTGAGAATACTGACTGAAACTGAGACCCTCTCCACTGGGAGTTAAGGTAGCAGCTTTTCCTGTCAGCCCAGGTGGGCTGGAGCTATTCCAGAGGAGTACAGTACAAACAGCTTAATTTCCTCCCAGCTATTTGTTACCACTGATGTCCTGGAGGTTATCACCCTAACCAGCTTCACCAGCTGTCTGGGGAGAAAAACAGTCCTTCTGCACTGCAGTGCTACTGCAGCCAACTTAGTTCGGAGCTGTTTTAACGAAGCCATCTGATTTTTATGTTCTTTTTCTCCTCTTTTTCTTTTCAGTTGAGCAAATGAGAGCGCTCACAGATATGGATTTGCCAGCTGAAACGTGAAGGTGGCATCTCGCAGCAGCAGGGTGGTGAACAGCCAAATCAAGCAGGGGTGAAGGCAGCATCTTTCACTGCATGGCCCTTTCCATAATCCGCTTCTGGGTGGAACATAAAGGCGCTTCCAGAGGTAGGTTTAGAGGCCCAGCTGACAGGTGCTGACTTGTTTAGCTGCTGTGTGTTGATTGCATTTGATTGTGTGCCCATAACCTGAGCAGATTCCAGAAAGGAGTTATATTCTACTTATGGCAAGTTCCTTATGCAATACATCATGCTTTTGGTGTGTAGCTTGGCCTTGGTGCAGCACTCATGGGAAGGAGTGAACTCAAATTAAGTGTGAATGAGGCTTTGAGGGGAGCTGGTGCTTTCCTGCCTGACCTGGCCCATGTCAGAGGACATATTGCTGTTTTGAGCTGTGATTTGGAGGAGGTGTTCACCCACCAAAGCATCGCAATATAGCTTCTGTCTCACTCTGCACCAGGGCTGAGGTGCCTTACTGTGTTGTCTGAAATGAGAGGAATAGCAGCGCTATGAGGAAGGGCTGGGAGATAAGAGTGAATGGGAGGGAGGGGTGATGAATTCTTACTTAATTGCCCTCAGTAAATGAACACCAGATGCTTAGGAGGACACCCTTTCTGCTCAAGAAGAAGCTCATGTCCAATAACTTCAGCTTTATAAAGGCTCTCGCGGTAGGTTGAGAGTCCAAACACACAGCGGCATGGCTCTTCAGTTATCTGGGTATCTCACTTAGCAAAATCAATAGCAAGTGGTGCTTCAGAACCTATATGGATCTGGTTCATAATATGTAGCAATGTGTCCAGATGTTTGGCTCAGTTGAGGTGAATGGTACTTGGCCAGTGGTCTGGAATGAGTACTGTGTGAATTACTACTTCTTGGTTTTGGTGTGTCACTCGTGAACTGTGTGATGCTCATCCCTGTTCTGAGGCCTCAAAGCCTGTGTACAACATGTGTTCCTGCAAAGACCTCAGAGTCACACAAAAGTGGCACATTGGCTTTCTGCAGAGTTTTTTTTCCCATGGGAAATGGTCACCCTGAAAGGTCTCCGTTGCTATGACATGAACATAGTCATGGGCACGTGTCAGTCTCTGAACCTTTATGCTTGTAAATATCTGCTGGAAACTGTGTGTGATTTCTAGGACACAATGATTCAGACCCTCTGCTTTGCTGATTAACATGCCACTACCTTCTTCAGTGCAATAACATGCTTTTATGCTAGTAAGAATCTGTGCCAGAGGACTAAGGAAGCAGGAGTGTATAATCAAGTTTTACTCTAATGTTATTAAATAGCTCTGGCCTTGGAAACGAGCACAAATACTCCCTTTATACATGAAATGGGCCTGAATGGTTAGGTAGATGTACAAGTATCCTGTTGGTTGAACACTCTTCATGCTGTAGTTGTTCTTCTGAGCATACTTGGAGTTTTGAGAGGAAGTGGTGTGGACACGGTGGCTTAAAAAAGCCCTAATACTGCAAAGTAATTTTTTTCCATACATTTTCAAGGGCATTTTTTCTTATGCATTGCACAGGTCCTAAATACATAAGATACATCATTACCTGCTGGCTTGACCCATTGAGTAAACAATACTTGGGTTTTCTTAAGTATGAATATATTACGTTCCTCCATATACAAATGGAGTGCAATGGCTTCAGTGTGGGGAACATAATACAGGTTTTAAACTCCTGCCTAATTATGCACTTAACCAAGCCATGAGGACAGTTCCTTTAGAGCCATTCTGGCCTGTCAAGTAAATAATATGCATTTTACAAAACCAACTAATTATGGATTTACCCACGGGACTGTCAAAGATCTGAAGATGCAGGTAAGTAATATGCACTTTACAGCTAACCATGCATGGGGAATTTGATTTAATTAAAAATGTGGTAGGTAAAAAGAGTAAACAATGCCTATCATCTCTCAAAAGCCAGGAAATTCAGGTTCAGTTAGCTCCTGTGCATCTTGAAAAGTCAATGTACCAGTGAGAAATATCCAAGACCAGGATTCACGTGGGTAGAAGGATTTTCTTTGAAGGAGATCTCATTGCTTTCCTGGAGCTCTGTGTGACTCAAAGTGTCTCTTCTGGCCATCAGGATGTCAGCCTCAGGGCTTCTCTTGAAGATCCCTGTGCAGGTTCAGGGTTGGAGTGCCCAGCCTCTGCCTTTACTCACACTTGAGCGCTGGCCTCAAGTTTAGGGGAGATTTATGTTAGGTATAAGGCAGAAGCTCTTCCCTGTGAGGGTGCTGAGGCGCTGGCACAGGGTGCCCAGAGGAGCTGTGGCTGCCCCATCCCTGGCAGTGCTCAAGGCCAGGTTGGACACAGGGGCTTGGAGCAAGCTGCTCTAGTGGAAGGTGTCCCTGCCTGTGGCAGGGGATTGGAACTCGATGATCTCAAGGTCCCTTCCAACCGTTCCGTGAGTCTATGATTCTATGATTTTTCCCAGGGTTTTTTGTACTACACTGGCTGCAGGCCTGACTAGGGAAAACAAAAAGAATGGAAAACTGGGTTAATAAATGTGTTTTATTAATATGTATTTGCCACGGTGCTGGTGGAATTGGTGATTCTGCTTAGGGGGTATGAAGAGGATTTGCTGTAAGCTGCCGTTGTGCTTTTTCTGAGCACCAGAAAAGAAACACTAAGGCTTGAACACTCCATCACATGTGTCTTTGAAACACATTGTATGGAGAAGAAGGCAAAGGTGGCATCGAGACTTCTCAAGGGGTTTGAATGAGGGAAATACCCTGAGCTTAATCCTGCCATGTACCAAGAACACTGTGTGCATCTTGGTGTGTCCCTAACCCTCTGTATACATGACTGCATGAAAATTCATGCCTGCGGAAGACTGATGTTTGTGCAGACTACCTTATAATTTATCAAACCAAGGAAATCCAGATCTTGGGTGAAAGGATAATTAGGAGTGTTAACTAGGCTAAATGAATAGTGCAAGTGCTTCTATGTACATACGCATACTTTGATGTGCTAAACCAGTGATTTCTTCACTGAAGGCTTTAAGAGGTAAATCTGCAAGACTGCAGACAGCACATTTCCTTAGGAAAGAGTCACTTGACACAAAAGCAGTAAACAGCCAGTTAATGGTGACCCATTATTCCACTTCTCACACATATGTACAAAGCTATTATTTTATTTTTATTGAGCTTTCCTCTTTTTTTCCTGAAGTCTGAAAAACAGTGTTGGGATGGCTAAAATACACCGGTCCCCTCTCAGATTGCTGGGTGATACACAAATACATTGTCTGACACTTTCCCCACCCAGTTTTGTGCACCAAAGTTGCGTTCTGCATATAAATTCCTGCAAGCTATGGAGATCACAAGTATGAAATCTGAAACTCCTGGTTCTATGATGATAAAGGGACGTGTTCTTTAAAAAAGCCCAGTTTTGCTGCAAGCAATGAACATGCTATGTGGAAAGAGACCTAGATTTGAAGTAGAGTTTGAAATGCTGCAGGGGTTGCATTACATCCTTCTAACACTTTTTCCTTGGTCAGATAGAAGCTTTTTATTGTTGTTTATGTGTTTACTTTGTGAATATTAGATTGGAAAACTTCTATTAACCCTCTTCTTGGCTCCTTTTCTCCCCCTGCTTTCCCTGTCACTCACCAACTCTGCATTTACTGAGCATCGTGGTTCTGTTTCAGAGCTGCAGAACTGTGTTGTTTAACCAGAAAAACATCTCCAGCATTTTCTCTTTCCTTAAAAACACCCCATTCTTTTTAAAACACAAAGTGGATTTGTGCTGTTTGATTATTTACTGAAACCAGATGCAGAAATTTATTATCAAGAAATCAAGTTTCATGCTTGGAGAGATTGGAGCACAGTCAAATGAACAACCTGCTTTGTGTTTGAACTGTATTATGGTCTCACCATTCTGCTCTGTTTCTCACCAAAAAAAAAACCCCAACCCAATAGCAGTGATAACTGCACAAAAAACCCCAAACCCACAAGTGCTGTTTATTGCCTAGAAAGAGCTGGGTTTGCTCCTACGGAAAGCAGAGGAGTGGAATGAGGTAGTGGCAAGCGGTGAGGGTTTCAGGACCAAACACTGCAAATAAAACTCACCTGGAGCTTTTGAGGAGTGAAAGATCAAGACTGCACTGAACAATTCCTTGCCAGCAATTGCCTTGACCGTTGGGTCACCATTGCAAAAATAATATGATAATCTTTACATTAACTTCAGTAGTTTTCTTTGTGCCAATTGCTCCTATTGTTACGAAGCTCAGCTAAGCTGGCATGATGGGAGGTGTATTACTGGACTGCTTAAGAGAAGACTTGCTTGAGTTCTCAAGCAAGGTGAATAGGACTTGGAGAATCTGACAAAAAATGTTTTATCTGAGCTGTTCTCTTAATTAAATTAGTCCCATTCCAATAGCCAGCTGAATAGTGATGTCAAGGAGGAGACAGCCACCTTACGAAACCTTTCCTGTAAAACTCCCTGTATTTTTAGATCCTTGGATTCTTTCAGTGCCATCTGTAGCTCACACATCGCATTCTCCACCATGCCATTACCTTCCAGAAGGAGATGAAAAATAAGGAATTATTTTATCTAGGTCAGAAAGGGAATACACTGAGAAAACTCCTCTGTGAAGGGAGAAATCAAGCCACCGCACAACATTAGGGAACACCAGGTGCTTTAATTTAGATATTCTTTCAGTATTACCCATTTTAGCAGCAGCACGTCAGGATCATGTACGAGCCGATGCTGATGTTATTGCTGGCTTAAACAAATTCTTGCCTCAGCTTTAGGCAATTTCAGAAGCCTTTTGAGCTCCTTGCTTCTCTGGTGCCCGATGGCCAAATCTTGCTCCTGCTGTCTGTTGGGGAGCTCTTCACGAATGGGTACCTTTTGCTGCGTGATTAAGACCCACAGGATCTTAGGATGTGTGTGAAGGTTTCCTCTTGTCCGAGCAAGGAAATTGTGTGGGTTTTTTCCTTTAGCATTCTCCCAAAGTACACCAAGAATTCAGAGGGAATTAGAATAACAATTTCTGTGGAATTTTCTTGAAGCAGAGGGGAGAACTGTGCTTGCCCAGGGCTTGACAGCTCTCGACAGTGCTGCAGCAAACGCGATGCGGAGTGTGGGCTGCGTACCGTAGAGT